CATCTTGTATATTTTTTATTGTATGGAACGCTTAGTTTCTAATCATGTTTCTACAGTAGGCCTGCCATTCTGATGACTAGTTTAACGGAGCAAGTTTGCTGAATAGTTGTAGTAGAATAGTAGTTTGTAGAATATCTTTCAAACCGGCCATGGCTCCATGGTATTTGAGCACCTGCGGTGCATGTCTGAACAGAGGCTTGTTCGAGCACCAACTAAATCATCGTTCTGCACTCAGATGACATTACTCCTCCAAGATAAAACTTAATGTATTTTTTCTAATATCCTGCTGTTTAATTTCTTCTTTGTACTTGTATCTGGGGTAATTGCCACAAATGACATTTTTCAATTCTGTCCATAAACATAAAGTCAGTTGAGAGACTCGCGGCAGATGCCAGGAATAAACATACAAAGAAAGCAGACAGGTAATTTGCATGGTTTCCGTAGATCTTTCAAGAGTTTTTGACCGAATCCTAAGGTACAATCTGGTGGATTATGAAAAACAAGCTGATACCAAAAAATATACCACGCTTACGAAAGACGCACGGAAAGTGACAACGATAGTTCGAAATGCATGCAGGGAAGCAGTAGGGTTCCTTGCGCAGATAGGAGTCCACCAAGGATTAGCACAGACCATTTCTGTACTCGTTGGCGACAGATGCGATAGCTGAGGATCTGCAGGAAGCAGTCCTATTGTGCATGCTCTCTGCATATGACATTGTGCTGCAGCGAAAGCATAGATGCTGTAAAATGAAAAACCGAAGCATGGAGAGCAGCTGTTGAGAAGAACGGCTTTCGACTGATCACAGACACGTCAGAGAATATGGTAGGCTATTTCAATGGGAGGAGGAACAGGTTGAAATCCGTCAAACCAGTGAAAGTGGTGGGGAGCTTGCTGCTGCTACAAACCCAAAAATTCAACTACTTTTGTTCCATCCAGCAAGATGATGCGGAAATTGACAGCGAGGTAAGAAATCGGTCGAGAAAAGCTTTGTCAAATAGATGGAAGTGAGCGGAGTACTGTGCGACAAGAAAATATTCATGAAGCCGAACAGCAAGGTGCAGAGAACGATAGTATGGCCGGTACTTCTTTACGGAATGGCTACCCTGAAGAGACACAAGCAACAACGGAACTCGGTAGAAATGGGAATGTTCAGATGAATGTGTGGTGTCAGCAGAAAGAACCACATCCGCAACAGTTGCACTCTGAGGGGTAGCACCAGTTTCAGAAAAGCTTATCGAAAGCAGGCTCCGTTGGTTTGGTCATGTGGAAAGAAGACCCATCGAGCACGTTAGAACTGTGGTCCAAGCACTGATACTGCCAGGAAAAAACTAAGGGGAACATTGAAGAAAAGATGTCGTCAAGGGCGATATGAAACTGCGAGAAGTCTCCCAAGATTTAACGAAAGATAAAAAATGTAGAATAAGTTAACTCGATTAGCAGAGCCCTGTTAAAAGGAACATGCTAAAAAAATCATGATGCGTTGCAGATGTTGAAATACCTGTTTTACATGGCTTGCTTAAATGGTTTTCTTGAGTACCTGGCGGTGCACTTTAAAACATAAATCTGGTAAAATGAAGCATTTCTATGTCATTACTGACAGCATTAAAAACTGCCATTTCTGGGAGGTCACTCTGCAACATCTGGGTAATATTTCGTTTATATGAGGAGAATCTCGCTTCTCTGAAGAGCCTAGCAATTAATAACTGATGAATCTGCATTCAGATAGACTTTATCGTAAAGCTTAGGAACACTAAAAACTTCCAATTTAGCGTTGGGACATATGAAGAACGTTAGGCTTATTGTAGATTTATGTAAATGTTATGGCTTTGGTTATGGAGTTGCTAGTTCCTTGTCAATTTTCGAGGAAATACGTTTACTCATCAGGAGAGTTAGGTTGTCGAAAGAAGTGCTTTTGCTTTTGTCAGTAATAGGCGATGATTCAAAGCATTGAGGTATTGCCAGTATCGTCGGTCCGCTGTTGCTTTTTCGTTGTTATCACAGGCTAACAGAGCTTAGACAGCAGAGAAGCCCTGATATACGAAGCCTGACCTTTAGAAAGTCGTTTGTGATGTGATTGGAGTCAGGAGAACATGCCGCGTGATCGATATCGTGTAGAGCAGTAGATCAATCGTTTCGTGTCTACTTCTATTAGTCGAAACCGCAGAAGGCATACACAAGTGACTTTGACAACGAAATGACAGTTTTACTACATTTTGCATGTACAGCAGTGTTATATTTGCTGTACTGCTGGAGGTAGATCTTTTTCGTATCTTTTTGGTATTGAAATTCGAAGAATTCTTTACAGAATCATACAACATATACAGTTAGTCAATGACTCCACCAGAATTAGGTTTCACGGCGTTTTATACCGTTTCGTTGCCCTTAGTTCCCTATCGGCCACCTCATGCTCATCGCGAGCGAAGTTTCAGAATTGATGATATATATGTATATGCTACCACGTTGTATCAAAGTATACGGGAGTATGTCAAATGGCGAATCGCCCATCCGAGACCAGGTTTCACTGGCATTGCATCTCCCCTCCGCCTCTTGCGCCTAGTTGCCTCGGGGTCCATTTAGGCAGACCACGGCTCCATAGAATTTGAGCAGATGCAGATGCATTCTGCATCACGAACGGCTTGTCAGGAGTTGGAACTCCTTATATGCTACAGCATAAGCGTCATAAGCTGGTGAGCGTGAGGTAGCTCTAGCGGACTCGATGATACGAGACGCATCTGTCACTACAGGTGCTCAAATGCCATGGAATCACGGGCTGCTTAAATGCCCCAGGCAACTAGGAGCAGGGCGCGTTGTTATGCACTGTGAAACCTGGTATTTTGGAGTCATTCTTTTCTGACAAACTTGGACGAAAGAATAGCTTATGATATTTATGCGATCATGAATTTATATCCACATTCTTGAACATTGCCGATTTTTAATAATAATCCTAACGCAAAATCTTACAGTATAAATCATTTCAACCAGATGGCAACTATGCAATGGAGGTATTGGCCTCGATTTTGGAAGATGCTTCATAATTTCGTTCCAAAGCGCGCTTAGTGCATAAAAAGGTTCAATTGAATTACTGGTTTAGAAAGAAAGTTCTCTCCGTGTATTTCTTTCATGTCATCCGATAATATACAATGTCTTCGTTAACAACTGCCCAGTTCTTTCCATATTCATTCTTCATTACATGCGAATTTTTTCTTTTTCATTGCCCTTTCCCCTTTTGTGCTTTTTCATTTTGACATAGATCGCAGTTTCACCATCTTCTAGAGTTACTGGGGTGCTCTTTATTCTGTACTTTCCTGGGTTTCCTCTGCAGTTGAGACCTCACTCATACGGTAGAGTATAAATTTACCCCTGTTTGAATTTTGGCCAGATGGTTTCGACTTGCATTAGCTGGCTCCGTACTGTCTTGGGATCCGATTGTCAGGCGTATTTCGGGCGACCGTATGCAGCTTTCGCTTCGACGCTGCACATAGCGAACAATATTGCTGGCTTTGAATTTCTGTTGCTTTTTTCTAGATATTTTTTTGCTGATTGCTTCTCTATTATCTGTCTAGCGGGTGGCCACGGTTTCTGACAGCTCTCCGGCTGCAAACCAGTTCGTTTATGATGCCAGTGTCAATGGAGCTTA